CAAACCTTAGTTTGACTTGACTTCGGTTTTTTGGAATTTTTTAGAAGCAATTCTCTTGTGTCAGAAGCCTAAAATTATACAAAAATTCCTACCGTAATCCTACAGTCATCAAGATAAATCATTCGCTCTGTACTGTAATCCAAGTTGAAGCCAGCACTATATGTATGGCAGCTAAAAATCTACGAAAGCTTTCCATATAAAGAAGTTATTATAGATCAAACATTCGATACATTTTTTGGGTCACCCTGTAGAAAGCAACCAACAATGAAAACGCGCAAATAACGTAGAAAATGAGCGAACTCACCGAAAAACGGTACACAAGGCGGATTTATCGACTGTATTCGCTTCTGCATCTCTATATATCGTGGCTCGCAAAGTTTAACAAAACGATCGTACGTTTTTACTTTTTCGTGATCCAAGCGCTGAAACGAGAGGCTACTGTAGTAAGCGCAGAGATATCGCTTCAAGAAAAACACACCTCCCAGCACCAGGATAGTCTATGGACACAAGCGGAGTTGAGTGCTGACTGGAATGCTACGAGACCGGTGAAATTGTGGAGCTCTTCGAAGACAGACATCACCTAAGGTATACGACCATGAGCTTCAGCAAAAAATGAGCATAGAAGTAAAGAATTTCTTGAAAGGGATCATAGAATTCTGAAAGTGGTATGCACAATTTGCAAGAACGTAACGATGAAACTACTACATTATCTTTTAAATCAGAAACCCAGATATATGAGTTGATAAGCGCTTCAGAAAATTTATAGCTGCCTTCCGCGCGGAATTACGGTTTTATAACTACCGACGGAGGAGTTTTGAAGAATGCTATGCCGCAATTTCCCTTATTCAGCAACACAAAGAACTCACCTCCAGAACGCGAGCAAACATCGCTACTCGCTCTTCAAGCGATTCTGTTTCGACTATAGATCTGGATACCCAATAAGTGAGCTGAAAATATAGTTTTTTCATAGCATTATTTCATACTTGTACATTGAAGTCCCTACCAGTGTGGAATGATCTGTAAGTTTCAATAGCTGAGGGCTCCTCCTATACTTGTCGTGCTTAGTCCATGCCGCTCCAACTAATTCAATAGGTTTGATAGCGCGGTATAAATCAAAGTGAAGTAGTGTAAGCTGCAAAAAAAGCTTGGTAAACCTGTGGAGCTTAGCTGGAGATTAAGCTCACCTGTCTACCAATCTCAAGAGGGTGTAACGTAAGAAGGTCATAGTTGGCTACATCGCCTTGTTTGGCAGCATGCCAGACAATCTAAAACTTGAGTTTCAAAGGAAAAATTTCATATAAAGCATACTGTTGAGCGATAGAGATTGTAGATTATTTGTACAGTCTGTAATTACACCACACAGAACAATGTTAGCCATTAAAGGCACTGTCAACCCAAATGAAGGTTGATGAGATTTGATGGCATATAACAGAGATTCACCTAATTAAGCCATCGCCCAAATCTCGCAGCAAAAGA